CCTGTTCCTATATTCCTCTATTCCGTTATTCCCTGTTCCTATATTCCCCGACTATTCCTCTATTCCGTTATTCCCTATTCCTACATTTCCCAACTATTCCTCTATTCCATTATTCCTATATTCCCTTATGCCTTTATTCTCTTATTCCTTCATTTCTGTATTCTTTCATTCTTTCGTTTCTCTATATCGCTGGTACAGAACATTTGATTTCGTACTGTTTTTCTTCTTACAAAATTGAGATTTCTTTGATTTTATTTCTTCAAAGATAATTAATCGGTCTCTTTGAATGTATTATTTACTAATCAAACTATCCATTTCATTGCACGTTGAAATCAGAAATGTGCGTAATATCTACATAAATTCTAGTGTGAAACTATTTAGATATTCATATATTAGGAAATTTTTCTCGTTTAAAATGCGATTTGTACCATTTTTTTAAAGTCCTAAATAACCCAAAGTGTCGATATTTATTAGTCTTTATTTTATTTACATACAAATACTCTAAAAAGTAAGAAAATAGTGGGTGTGGGGGTGAGTGTGGATGTACCTGTGCACCACCAACACCCACACCTACACTCAGACCCACACTCACATCCACAACCACAACCCACACCTAGATCCACACCTACACCCACACCTACACTCAGACCCACACTCCGCTCACACTCACATCCACAACCACAACCCACACCCAGATCCACACCTACACCCACACCTACACTCAGGCTCACACTCCGCTCACACTCACATCCATAACCACAACCCACACCCAGACCCACACCTACACCCACACCCAGACCCATACCCCTACTCACACCTACACCCACACACAGACCCACACGTACACCCACACCCAGACCCATACCCATACTCACACATACATCCACACCCAGACCCACACCTACACCCAGACCCATACCCATACTCACACCTACACCCACACCCACACCCACACCCATTCAGAAATCATCGCGTGTAAGGAATTAAATATAGAGAAACAATTGTGCTATATTCTTTTATTTAAGTATGCCATAGTTTTAGGAATAAGGAAGGTCTTAAGAAGAAGATCATTTACGACGGTACTGTCGCAGAAACATCATTGATTGCTTAAATTCTTTTCTGTAGAGTGCTGAAGGTAGAACATATATGATGAATACCAGCAAGGATGGTAGAAATGAGATGAAATAGGCTAGTAGATATAGCGATACTTCTCGAGACGGTTTCATACAATCAGATGTAATTGTAATTATGAGATATGGCAATGTTAGAATGAGAAGAATAATTGGACTGATGATGGCGTGTTTATGTTCATTAAATTGTATATGAAGATATTGTCTGTAACTCTGTTCAGTACTAGTGTAACTTCGTTGACGAGCTGTTTTGATAATAGTAAATACAGCTGATAACAAATTAATAGTATATGGAGTAAGAATGTGAAAAAGAATAATAATCGAGTTATAATAATCTAAAAATTTAGAATAATGTACTACACACCAACTTCGTTGCTCTTCTTGATCATTGAAGAGATTTCGATTTAAAGGGTCATGAATGAATGTAATCGCGATTAGAATTGGCATAATAAATATCACTCTTTTGGCTATTTTTATACTTGTTAACTTTCGAAAACAAGCTCCTTGATAAACTGTAAACATTCGTTCTATCGCAACGCATCCACTGAACCAAGTATATGTATAGAGAAGAATTTTCAGCAATGGCTCAATTAATATACAGCCAATTTTGAGTACAGTATGATTCATTATAAGTCCAATTTGCGATAGTATAAGAAACCAAAATTTGAGTGTAAATAAACTTAATGTTAGAATAGAAGTGGTTGATGCGGCTAATAAATACAATCCACAACCAACTTTTTGGGAATTTTTCCTTCGAAATGTTAAATACGACGGAATCCCATTAATCAGAGCTAATCCGTACATGAACATTGTTATAAATATGCTTACTTTGATTGATGTATGTTGCTTGAATAATGGTTTGAATGGTTGAATTTCATATCGTAAAATGTCGTCTAATGTTAAGCCAATACCTTTCGCATAGAATTGACATTGGGGACCGTAAAAGCAATCAACACACATGCATGCTGTAACAGAAGGACATTTTGGATTATCTTGATAGCAAGAACCTCCATTCTTACAATAACCATTATTTTGACATTGAAATGTATCCGAATGATTAAATTGAAAACAATTTGCGTGATGCTCTAAAGTACATAGACACATGTAATCTTCATCGAAAAAGCACCACAGAGCGTGGTGATTTGCACATAGTAAATGGTAATATTTGATTCGTTGAATACGTGGCATTATCATCAATGTAGAATTCAGTAGTTCGATTATATGAAAACATTTTTGATAAGGTTTTATTGATGTAGATATCTCATAATTTGGATATTTTTGAACAACAACTAAATAGTAATTGCTATCTAATTTGACAAACACCAAATGAAATGTTTCTTCACTATAGATTGTTACCATGCGCTGCGTATGTTTCAAGTTTTTAAATATAGCCTGACTAGATGGATTTGTATAATCGAATGCTGCCATAAGATATATTACTATAAATGAACTTTCTGTTTTATCAAAATAAATATTCAGTTTTCTTTTCCATTTTTCACATCGAACTCCATAAAATTGCTCCTGACAGAAACAAGTGAACGTTTGTTTACTCATACGACCATCAACAATTACACATGTACCATCATTTAAACAAGTATTTGGTGGGCAATGTTTCAAAAGACAACGTGAACCATAATTGGTACGAGGACATATACATATCGATCGACTATTGATCGAACCAGCACACACAGAATCGATTGAACATTGAGAACAATTAGCTGGTGTATCACATAGGCGGCCACCCCAATCGGATGAACATTGGCAAAAGAACTTTTCAGTATTAACATATTTTAAGCATCGACCATTATTTTGGCATGTTAGGTTGCATAAATGAGATGGCTGCAAGCGTAACACTGGGATACTTAATTGGGCGGCTAGACGATTGACAGGAAGAAAAAGAAACGGAATGGATAAGTGCCAGCTTGCATGGTGGATCAAAGTCATCTTATTGAATGCATCAATATGTATACTATAATTTTGAGACAAATTATTTGGACGATTTGAAAATAGAAGATAAATATTAAATTTCATACGGCAACCCCAACTTGACATGAAAACGAATTGTTCATTATATTCAATTTGATATTTATCATTAACCAATGTTACAAGAATATTGTAAATACTATATCGGTCAACCGGTAAGAATTGTAGTGTGAGACTGACTCGTTGATTTTGATATTGACACAAATGACCATAATAACTCTGTGGACATAAACATTTGAGAGCATATTTTTCTTTACCAAGCCAAGTATGAATGGGTAACCCTCGATTACACTGCAACAACCATTGCCCATTACTCTGTCTAAATTCGCTCTTACTTGAAACGATTACATTAGCTATTTGCCGCTCATCCTTATTAATAGACGCATTCTTTACTAATGGCGGATATGTAATTGATGTTTTAAGTGAGAAATAGTTAACTCTCCGATCCGTAATACTGAATAGTTGACAAATGACATGTTCAACTAGTGTATGATTCAGAGCATAACCTGGATGGCATATTTTTCGATGACTTCCACAAAAGTTTTCATCATCACCTAGTCGACATTGCTTCTGCCCATTACATATATGGCTACGACCCAAACATTTTGGCCTGCTGTCATGGAAACAGTAAAAAGGATTAGTTAATAAGCCATTCAGAGATGGTCCTCGACAATATTTTAACTCATCCATTGCACCTAGACAATCTATGACATCGTCAGATATTCGATCGATAGATAGACAAACTAATGTGTAATTCAACGGTGATATACATGGACGAGTATTGTAAGGGCAATCGGATTTTATACAATCATCTTCATCTTTTCCATTTGAACATGCCCAGGTAGCATCACACCTACTATACACATTATTACATGGCCAGTATTCACAGTCAGTTTCATCACTGTGATTACGTCCATCGATTAATTTAATTTCTTGATCCAAATTTCCGTTACATATATTTTGAAAAGGTGTCGATGTTAGATCTTCTTCTTTATCTTTTCCTTTGATATAACGATTATCCATAGAAGTCATTAAGTTATAAGAATAAATTTGATGTTGAAATTCATGTATTTTGTTGACTACACGGCTCGCTTCATATTTTTTCTTCTTATCATAAGAAAAATTATCAATCGAACGATTCCAATGCCAATATGTCGACGTGCACAAAGACGAATTATTAGAATAACTAAATGATAGATACGGTTCACATTTACTTTGTTTAGTCCTATAGCTTATTTTTAAACAATTAAAAAAGTAGTTTTTCACGGATGAAAGAAAAGCATAATAATCTCCATCGTCGAAATCGAATTCATAGCGAGAACGACAAGTAAAATTTTGATAATCAAATGTAGGTAACATAAGTTTACACAATTGTTTTTCATAGCAAATATAATCGGGAAGAAAAACTTTCGAAAAGTCAGTTTCGACCAATTTGGAATAATTTATATGATAGAGAAAGTGTACGTGATTGAAAGCAACAGGTATAGTCGGAAACATGAAGAATGAATTACATGTCGATAGATAAGTCACATAACGATTACGATTAATACCGTTCGCGAACGTTATCATACAGTCATTTTCTAGACTAGGTATTATTTGCCAAAGACAACTCATAGCAAACCAACACCTTTTGGACAAACTTCCTTTGTTGGATAAAGATTCTTTAAATAAATCCAGTCGCCCATTATTACATGAACCGTCATAAGTTGTACAACGGCCATCACCACAAGTAAACTCATTGAATTTTAAAGAACATGATAGATCTTCGCAACGAAATGTTGGATCTTTTACGCAATGTTCCATGTAATTATTCGTATCAATTTTTAATTCATCACTACCATCAAGGCATTCTGGATTATTACCATCATCTCGCCAGAAATCTTTTGGAATACATAACCCATTATCACATCTGTATTCATTTTCATCACATTGATTTATTTTCAATTCAAAACATTGATTTTCGTCATTACCTTCGTCGATGCAATCAATATGTCCATTACATATTTCTCGCCAGTCGAGACAAATCAACGATGATCCACGATAACATTTTATGTGAGTGTAACATGTGAGATTTTGAACGATCTCGCCCATTTGATCGTTTAGAAATTTCTCCTGCAAAATTGATCTGATAATATTATCTAATGACATGGTCATACCTAAGCCAAAGGAGTATTGACATTGAGTACCGAACCACGGTTTTGTACAATTGTAAAATGTTTCCGTTGATAACATATTATTGGTATCTGATTGATTGATATAGAATACATATTTTTCAATAAGATCAATCGGAGCGGACCATGAAAGTAATTGTTCCACAGTTACATTTAATTGATGAAGTGCATACAACGTAAATTGCTGATCACGTGTATTTTCAAAAGTAGGAATCATTGCATCAACTTGATTTATTGGTCGAAGACAAAAATTGATTATTTGAAATACAGACTTAGATAAATCATGATCTTCTCTATTGGTTTGACGCCTATAGTAGTACAGGCAGTCGAACTGTAATTGATCATTAGTAATCACTCGATCAGTATTATACAGGTTTAGTTGACAATGAGTTATTGATAACCATAATAAGATGAAGCCAATCAAACAAGCTAACATGATTATATATGCTGATTATTGTTGAATTCAGTATGACTTTATTATTTAATACTTTTAATATGTATATTTCAATGCCCAATATAATCTTAAAATATTCATGTTATACTATCACATACTTTAAACATCAAGTGAACTATATAAGAAAAGCTGTTCGCGCAGTCCCTCGTGGGGGTTAAAAATGCAAAACATGATGTAGCTGCTGTTGCCAGTCTTCTAAAAACTGTTCTTTTTTATGTATATTGGGGTAAATTTCTTCATCATGGCTTAGTTTAAATTATAGAGCTTGAACAGAATAATACTCCATATATGCACCAGTCATATGTTAGCCATGCATTATTTCTCACATTTCCTTGCAGTCTTCTTTCATAGTGTATGATGGCCCCCGGGAGCCTATGTATCGCAGTCCGTGATGAGTCGACGGGTGAGTGTGGCTGTGGGTGTGGGTGTGAGTGTGTGGGTGTAGGTGTGGGTGTGGATGTAGGTGTGGGTGTGGATGTGGGTGTGGATGTGGGTGTGGGTGTGGATGTGGGTGTGGATGTGGGTGTGGATGTGGGTGTGGATGTGAGTGTGGTGTATGTCTTCATTATACCCACACCCACACCCAACACTCATACCCCATCCACACCCACACCCACATCCATATCCACATCCACACTCATACCCACATCCACACCCTTTCTTTTCTATGTCAAACTGCCTAAAAACTGTCGAGTCTTCAGAATTTACACCATTCAGTGCAGTTCAGGCAATCTGTGAAATGAAGTGCACGAGAGCCTTACATACTCTTCTTATAAGGTAAGAAAAAGATCTTTTCATTTGCATAATTAGTATTTCATTTCTGATCGTTCTGCTTATTTTTTTTTAATAATCTTATTCGTTTCTAAAACCCATTCTAACTTATACAGTTTGACGATCTCTGTCAAATTCTATATGATCAAAACTGCAACACTGCACTATGTTGGTAATAGATTTCATAATTGTTTATGCAAAAGCAATCAGACAGTACTAAATATCACACAGGCTCAGTATTAACTTGATTATTGGTTAAGTGTGTGGGTGTGGATGAGAATATTATATTTTTGATGAACTCATTATTCACACTCAAATCCTCTTGTTGCCCACCTTTGAGTCACTGTTGTTTTCAGAACTTGAAATAATAACGCGTATTAGTATATTTAAAGAAATGACATATGACATATATAACGACGGAGTTAGATGTCACAAATACTTTTAAAGTCTCAAGCGAAGCCAAGCCTACCTTGATTTGTTGATTTCTAAATGACAGCAATAGTTCGACCATAAAATCTTACATGATTATGTAATAATGTTGCAATAAATCTGTAAAACTCATTTAAAAAAAATAGAAATAGCGAGAAGAGTGGGTGTGGGTCTATTTTATCACTGATTTACAGTCTATAGTCACACGAGCAGTCACACCAGTGCACAGTGGTGAGTTTTGAAATAGAAATGAAACCCTTTAGGGTTTCATACAGATTCCTGCTTTTTGCATTTTTTAAGAAGAATTGCTCCACACTATGATTTTCCCACTAGATTCGATATCCTACTAAGAAGCTCATGCAATGTTAAAGAATAAGATGTCATATCGAAGCAATTTTTCCGAAAATTGGAACTTTGAAAAGGATTCGTAGAAACCCTAAGATATCTCAAAATGAATGTGAGTGGTCGGAAAGTCATTTTAAAAAGTATCCCAAATTTTTCATATGAAATCTTAAACGGTTCAAATTTTATTTCAAAAATCTCGAAACCTCTATAGGTTCCGTAACGTGTTCAAAAACTACTTTAGATTCTGTAGAAAATATGAAACCTTCAGAAAGTTCAGTCTCGTACCGTTGTTTTTCAGTGTAAGGAGATAAGAATAAAGAAAGACGGGTGGAATGGAATAGGTATATAAGAGGATAAGGCAAAAGGAATTTAAGAGTTAAAGATATAAGATAGCAAGGGAATCAGCCCATAAGTGGGTAATACTGTAGAACTATAAGCCTAGAAGGTGTAAGACTACAATGGTATAAGGTTACAATCTCTATCTAATATAATGTGAAGTGTGTAATTGTCTGTTACTAGATCGAGGATAAACCCCAGATGCGAAAATTTACAGGAGAAAAGCAGCCGCATAGTATGGATGGGATCTCACTAGTTGTGTGGTACTTACGTGTCAGTAAACTCATAAATACCTCTATCCTAAATTATCGAGAATCAGTAGCTTGTGCCTCCTTTTGCGTTATCATGTTACTATAAGAGATAAAAAGCATAAAAAGTACTAGATATATATGTAGAAGCTATATGTAAATTGATTACAACTGTAATGAAATCCCCTATAATGTTTAGCTTGATGCATAGAGTTTGAGCGGAAGCACACGTTATAAAGTAAAATAAAGGCATGTTTCATTTCCTTTTGATCTCTGTCGGATTCATTGTCCTCAATCAGCGCAGACTCTTCAAATATGGAAAAGAGAACAGGCAAACACTACCATTTCTTTTTACAATACTTGCAATGTCTCTCATTTTGCCTAACTATAAGTTCATTATCATTGTTCATGACTTCTTTACATCTTTCCCTTCTAAAGTATGGATTTGGATGGAAGACGATGGTGTGTGAATATAGGGAGTGGATAGTTGTGGGTGTAGGGTGTGGGTGTGGGTTTGAGTGTGGATGCGGATGTGGAGTGTGGGTGGGTGTGAGTGTGTGGGTGTGGGTGCGGTTGTGTGAGTGTGTGGTTGTGTGAGTGTGTGGGTGTGGGTGTGTGGGTGGATGTGGTTGTGTGGGTGTGTGAGTGTGGGTGGGTGTGGATATGGTTGTGGGGGTGTGGGTGTGGATGTGGTTGTGTGGGTGGGTGTGGATGTGGTTGTATAGGTGTGGATGTGTGGAGTAGCTGTGTGGGTGTAGATGTGAAGAAAATGTACACCGACACCCACACACCCACACCCACACCCTCACACCTCCCACACATCCACACCCTCACACCACCCACACACACACCCTAGGTATGGATGTGTGGAGTGGCTGTGTGGGTGTAGGTGTGAGGAAAATGTACACCCACACTCACACCCACCCACACCCACACCCACACCCTAAGCCTCTTTATATTATGTCTGCATAGTAATGAGTGATTTTTCTAATCCTATATGCTTCTAATGTAGAATTTGTTGGATGTTGACAGATGTCTTGTAATGATATTATAATTATTTGGAGACAATGTTGGAGAAGTTTGAAATAAAACCTGACAAATGAAATGTTTGATTTCTGTGTTTCAGAGAAAGAAAGAAAATCAGACAGTTATTGACTTTAATAACTGAAACTAGTCACTACTATCATCCTCTTTTCTTTGTTGATCGTTCGTGACATCAATGCTTTCAAAAATAAAATGATCCTGTTCAACTGAGAAGATGCTATTGCATTCCCATATAGCTGAAAGGGAATAATAGTGCACATTATTTTCCATTATTTCCCTCAAATAATACATAGTTTCATGATAATGCAATATTCTCTTCTCATTTGAATGCATTTTTCATCAAATAATGAAAAAAAAATGCCTTATAATCCATTGATTTTTGTTATGAATTTTTGGGAAATTTTACAATTATTTTTTTAAAATGCGTTGCCGTTTGTGATAATCGGAAAATATAATGCAGTTCAATGCAATGTGATGGCTCTGTTTCAGAAAAGTATTCAACTGTATTATATTTTCTGATTATCGCGAACGGCAACAAATTTCAAAAAAATAATTGTAAAATATTCCAAAATCTATTTAAAAAATGGATTATAGGGCATTTCTTTCATTATTTGGTGAAAAATGTTGCATTATCATTAAACTATGTGCACTATCTGAGGCAAATAATGAAAAAATAGTTTACAGTATTATTCATTCTCGGCTACATGGGCCTTTGTTCTGTTCAATTAGGGCGTATATCACTGCCACAGTCGATTCGTCTCACTTCTATGTGAACGATGTTCTAGTAGTGATTGAAGTGCACCATCTCGAAGATGTTGTTGAATGAAATCTTCATATTCTATACCTTAGCGATAACCTTGGTTAAAAATCAGCTGACGTTATCACCAATACCTGTCTTCAATTTGTATCATACTGAACATAGTCAGTTTTCAAACTTGTTCGAATTTGATTGTCTCGATTATTTTGTTACCGACGACATTGTTAAGTATGAGACTTATTATTCATGGGCTCATCAATTCATTACGTACTGTATCCGACCCATTCATGGTACTTGGAAATCATTGTCGACGGAGAATTCATCAATGTTTGTGTCAAATTTTACGTTTGAAGAGCTGAAACGTAATGGTATTACTGGCGCGGAACTACTCTCCTGGTCAGCAACGATGGACCTGGTTGAGAACTATGAAGCTTATCTGGCTGGTGATGTACTCACTAGTGACATGGATGTCTATTACAATTGTACACCACCCTGGTTCGGAAATCGATGTGAATATGCTTTATCTCTCGTGTCTCAAATGCCACTGCCAGATATAATTTATCTTGCCTTCAATATGAAGAGCCATGATTACTATTCACCAGATGATGTTCCGTGTTACACTCTGATACAGGTAAAAATTTTGAAGTTAGATTATCAAAGATAGAACATAGCCTCTTCATTGGTATTTAGTGTAATCGTGGACCTCGAGTACGTTGTCTCGATTGGCGTGAGATTTGTGATGGTAAAGTCGATTGTATCGATGATGCCGCCGATGAAGAGCATTGTTGGAAACTTGAGCAATGGGATGTAGTGTCAGATCAGAATGAATTTCGATGTCATAATGGTATGCACAGTATTTCGAACCAATACCATCGCGATGCCCTTTTCAATCCTGATTGTATTGATCGTTCAGATGAATCGAGTCGATCCGATCGATGGGATCAATGTTATCAAGATCCAGCATTTCGATGCGAAGAGCATACTTGTCGGTTGAGCCGCGACAATGCCGTTTTAGCTTGTGGCGACGGCCAATGTGTTCGTACCTGGAATGAATGCAAGAATGGACGAGGATATTCGCAGTGGACGGATCCTGACTTGCCCACTCTCCCATCGAATTGCGAAGATTTGATGTTTTGTTTGACAGAAATGCGTAATATTGTGAGACGTATACCTTGTACATGGTTTTGTAATGGACGATGCGCTTTCAATCTGCTAAAGAATTGTCCAGAGAAGTTTCCATTTCCGTCGGAATTCATTGCACTCGGTCATGTTTTCTTTCTCTATGAGAGTGCGAAAAGTGATCAAACGATCGACAAGATCTTACCCAGCTACGTATGTTTCAAACCAGAAAAGTGCCCGATGATTCAAAGTACAATGATGTATAATGGAAGTGCATGCCTTCAATTCGATCGTATCAGCTTGCGATTGAAGTATCAACTACATTGGCTTCGTTTAGTATCGCTCATCGAAGGTTATTTTGTCACTCATTGTTCACCGACTTCTTCTCAATCATGTTCGAACAATGCCACCACATACCGTTGTGCCAACTCATCGAAATGTATCTCGAAACATCGCCTTCTCGATGGAGTTCAAGATTGTTTGGAGAACGATGATGAATTGTTTACTGATAGCTGTTCTCTGAATCATACCAATCGACATCGATGTATCGACGTCGAGAAAAAATGCATTTCTCCGTTTGTTCTGCATGATGGTCAGTTTGATTGCCCGGCTGGTGAAGATGAGTTCAAGTCATTGTTGAGAATTATCTCTAGTCAAACACAAATTTCATACTTCACTCTATGCGATGGTTTTCAAGAATTAATACCAATCTTAATCGATGGTCAAAATCATACCGATGAAACTGAATGTCACCAATGGCCGTGTCAGAATCTCTATACGACTTGTAATGATATTTGGAACTGTCCGGATGGCAGTGATGAACAAAACTGTCTCGATGTCAATAGTCAACTCATCGATCGATTGTGTATTTATCCAACAAAATCGAACGATTTCTGCCCATCACTCTATGAGAATAATCGGACGCATTGTCGATTACTAACTAGCGCATCGCAAATCTGCTTCAATGTAACACCGAATACATACAATGAATTTCACCAGTGGACAACTGATAAATACTTATCCTATAGTCAAATATGTCATTTGATGACTGGGTGTTCAGCTAATCCTCATCCAGTCATGCCAAATATCATTGGACATCAGTTATTTGTCTGTGCGACTAAAAAATTAGCACAAATTCGAGAGATTTCTTGTACCTTATCGAAAGAGTATAAGTCTTGGTTCTTTAATGGCCTAAGCTCAACTGTAGCTATCAATAAAGTAGTTCCGTTGATTCGATCAACACGAGAAAAACGTCAACTGAATGAGTATCTCAGTCCTTGGTATTGTCATCGGGGTTTAGGCATTTGGTTTCAGGATACATTTCGTCAGAGAAAATGTCTCTGTCCACCCAGCTACTATGGAGAACGTTGTCAATATCAAAATCAACGTGTTAGTTTGACGCTTTATATTGATTCACAGAACAATTATCGTTCGATTTATAGCGTCGTGGTCATGCTAGTCAATGAAGATGAAATGATTGAATCATTTGATCAAATTTTGTATATTCCAATGAATCATTGTGATAAGCGCAAATTCAATCAATATTTAACTTACCGTTCTCGTCCAAAGGATCCTCACAAAAATTCCAGTGTTCAGCTCCATGCCTATAATAAACATACGTTAGACTATCATGGAAGTTGGTTGTTTCCCTTGTCTTTTCCCTTTCTACCTGTTCATCGTCTGACCGTTGCCATTCAGATTCCATCCAATCAACCTCCACGATGTTCGTTCTGGTGTGGTAATCATGGCCAGTGTTTTCGATTTCTCAATCGGAAGGACTCAGATGCATTCTATTGCCGTTGTGATCCAGGCTGGACTGGGACACAATGTCTTGTAAAGTATGGAACATGTCAACGATGCGCTTCAGGTTCATTGTGTGTAGGTCCGAATGTTTGTGTTTGTCGTCTTGGCACAAGCGGACGTCGCTGCTATGTCAAACCTAATGGATGTACTTCACTCTACACCAGTTGCCCACAGGATCATCTGTGTGTACCCTTAGATAGCCGTGCTTCTCTCAAGCCATTCATATGCTGCGCTCCAGGCTATTCGAGATGGCCATGTGAGCCTGCCGATCAAAAAATCTTAATTTCATTTCATTCCAAGATCAAAATTCCCGATTCGATTCATGCTTATTTTGTTTGGATGCATAATTTTCAAGAAGTAAAGTTCACACCTATATTTGTTAAAATTCCGTATGATCAAGCTTCGGTTACGTTCAATACCGATTCCCGATTCACTTTTGTATTAGTTACTCTATGGTCTAAAGATTATTATCTGATATATAAAGGACAAAGCGCAGGTAGTGATCAAAATATCAATGAGACCATTCCAATATTTGTGGAACCATCCAGTCGGTGTTTGTCTATTAGTGACCTTTTCAATGATAGCTTTGTGAAGCTTCATCATCTCCGGAGAATGAAATATTATCATAGACCATGTCAGGATCGGCTAGATTTGGTGTGCTTTTATGATGAAATGTATCTTTGTACCTGTTTTGATAGTATAGATCAGCGTCAAGCACATTGCATAGAGCTCTCCCGCAACGGATCGGATAGATGTCGAGGAATGACCAATAATGGCGATTGTCTCAATGGAGCTCAATGCTTGCAAGATGCACCGACTTGTCCGACAGTGTCATTGTGCGTGTGCACTGAATGTTACTATGGAACCTATTGTCAATTTACGACCAAAAGTTTCGGTCTGAATCTCGATGCCATTCTTGGCTATCAAATTCAACCGAATGTCTCTATTCTAAGGCAACCACCGGTGATTCAAGCGAGTATATTAACAGTGATTATAATGTTGTTAATAGGTGTACTAGAGAGTTCAATCTCAATCGGAACATTTCTTCGAAAAGCGATCCGTAACGTAGGCTGTGGAAGATACTTAATTTGCAGTGCAATCGCATCCCTCCTCACGCTAATCTTCTTTGCTCTAAAATTTTGGTTTCTTCTGTTGATACAAATGGCCATTATTCGTCGCCCTATATTTCTGAAACTGAATTGTATAACAATCGATTTTTTCCTTCGAGTCTTTCTCAGCAGCTACGATTGGTTGAACGCGTGTGTCGCTGCTGAACGAGCAATGGTCGCCATCAAAGGGACCAGTTTTGATAAGAAGAAAAGCCTTCGATTGGCTAAATGGACTATTCTCTGCGTACTCATGACCACTATATCGACTCACTTATATGATCCATTTCATCGTCATCTGCTGAATATTGAAGATGAACAACGGCAATGGTGCGTGTTCACGTACAACAGTTTTTTTCAAACTCTCAATCTAATTATCGTATCTTTTCATATTATTATTCCTTTTTCTATCAATTTCATCGCGGCCCTAATCATCATCGTCATCGCCGCTCGGCAACGATTGCTCGTTCGAAAGGAACAGAATTATCAACAACATGTTTTCCAACAATTAAAGCAAAACAAAAATCTTTTAATTGCTCCTTGTATTTTAATCTTACTCGCTCTACCTCGCTTAATTATCTCGTTTATCTCCGGTTGTATGAATTCAACACGAGATCCTTGGCTTTTTCTCGTCGGTTACTTTGTTTCATTTCTACCTGCTATGCTAATATTCGTCATTTTCATTTTTCCGTCGAAAACGTACATGCGCGAATGCGCCTCATTGATCAAAGATATTCGGAAAAAGCTTCGATTGATTCATTGAGCAAATAGAATTTTTCGATGTTGTGTGCTGCAGTTTGCCAACAAAAAAAATGACAGTCGATGTCTTGTGAAATACGTCAGACTTGATGACACTGCTTTGTATGTAAATAAAAAGCTTGTTTTTCTCGGAAAAATCTTTGATTTTTCAGCGCCAGATTCTTGACAGATATGATCAAAATCTTGCATGGATTTGCTTTTTTTCTTGAGAACACAACTAAAACCTGAAAGAAGTGTATAGTCACAAAACTTTAGGATCCTAACAGGATTTTAATCAGGATGTGGGTGTATCGTATCTCTTTATCTGCATCATTGTAAGCCAGGTAAAGAAGACTCTTTATTTCAAAAGCATTCGCTATATAAGCCAATAGCAGACAAATCCAAAGATAATTGCAAAAATACAAACGAGAGGAAAGTATCTTGAAGAAGGTAAAGAGACAGAAATGAAATACGAAAGAATACATATTTGATGTTCCATACAAAAGGGCAAAAGAAAGAAATAAATGAATCATGCTTTAACAGTATAACTTTATCATGTATGTATAGTCATCAAGGAGAACTGGAAAGCTCTAACTTAGAGCTTTTGTCACCATTTAAATTCATTTTGGCGACCATTACCATTACCAATACCAAATATATATCCTGCCACAGCACCGACACCAGCACCTACAGCAGCACCTGGTGGGCCATCTACTGCGCCACCAACTGTTGCTCCAACAGTAGTCGCTACTGCAACATCACTCGCGGAACCTAGAGTAAATTAAATTTGTTTTTTCGGTAAATCAACTTGTACCAAGTGATTCTCATTAAAGTTCTTCATTTTGATTTCCTAAAATATGCATATTATTACGGATTGGGTGTGGGTGTGGGTATGGATGTAAGTAAAGAGCGAAATCATACCCGCACCCACACCCACCCTATTTTTCTATTATGACAAAAAAGAACATGAATCGACAAAGTTCAATCCATAGGGAAATGGAACGAGAAAACATTTTGAATAGGACCTTTGGTATGTCCGGTATTTTAATATTCATCTTTGATGATAGAAAATCTGTAGTTGAAAGTAGCATAGTCTTTTTCTAAAGACACTGTATTTCATTTTTTTTCATCAAATATGCGGTGCATCATAGACAACTGGTCTGGCACTATTGGGTGGGGTGTGTGAATAATTGTCTACGCCCACATCCACCCACAAAGTATTCATGCTTTAGGAAAAAAACTGTTTTTTTTAATCTGTGGATGCGAGTTCAAATTCTAAAATTTTAGATCGAATAGTGCGTTGAATATTGAAGGTTGAGTTCGAAAACTAATTTTCGAATTTCGACTTGAAACTTTAAGGTACAAACATCTGATCTAACTGTTGTTGATATAAGTGATGTTAAAGCCACGCTGTTATCATATCTATATCTCCACATATACATAATAACAAGATATAAAGTATTCATAGAAAAAAAAAACGAAGTCGACTTATTTATTCGAGTATTTCTCTCGTCAGCGAAGTACAAATCAAAGTAATCGAATATAAAAGTTTTATTTTCATTTTATTGATCTACTCTGAGACTTAATGCTTCTCGTGTATTTGAACTTTTATAGGTAACTCAGTGAGCTTTATTTAACGATGTTACCCTGGTTGCATCTGTGCTATATAACCATGATAAAAAACAACAGATCACTTGTCAATCAGCAAAATATTGTATTGCAAAATCACGAATAGGTAATTTTGAATGCATAACATTAACACCAATTTTTCACCTTCATCATTAAGTATTCGTCCTTCAGCATCAAGCAATTTTTTTTAATATTCCTATATGTAAATATAAATACTTTCACTAAAGAAAACTTTTGCTCAAAAACAATGTTTTACCCAAATTTTTAAGACGAATAATTCAAGTTCAATATTAAGTTAAGTTATATTATTTTTTTAAATATTCTTTTAAACCCAAAATTCGCAGCAACAAATCTTGAATCCAAAATGATTTGAAAGATAAAGGAGTATTTTTCATGATTAAATGGAATATCCCACCTAAAGTGAACCACACGTTGTTACTTTTTTAGTTTCAATAATCCTACGAAGAGAACAAACAAAACGAAAAATATCGTCAATTCGAAATTTAAAGAAAGTCTTTTTTTGGCACCATCGAAATAGAACTTATAGAAGTTCTTTAGATAGATAGGATGCGAATAAGTTGTGGAATAGTTTTCTCTAGACTGAAAAATTTATCCAAAATGTTTTTTCTTTTGATTTTATTCGTCATATGTAGCGTAAAATCTTCACTGCACCACTGGGATTCAATGACGCAAAAAAACAACATTTACTAGAATTTCAAATTCATGGCACTAAAACATCGATCATTTATTTACCAACAATAAGTAACTTTGAAACAATGGCATTAACACCAGTTTTATGCCATTTTTCAAGTTTATCATAAAGTATTAACCATTCAGCATCAACCACTTTATTCATATTCCTACGGATAAATATGAATAAGTTCAATCAAGCCAAATTCTATTGAATAAAAACATTTTTACTGCAACATTATGAAGATAAATTTAAACATGATCAAGTTCCATTTTTAATTTAAGATTAACATCTGCATGTGGGTGTGGATGTGTTTCTTTTCCTTTCACACTTACAACCATCCACATCCACATCTACCCACACTCTATAAAAATAAGGTTAGCTTACGTATCCTGAGAATTTTGTAATTTCACAAAAAAATTCATTTTAATTTTGCACTAGGCTTTAGCTTTCAGAGATTCATTAAACTATTATGGTTAAAGCTATGGACATATAATGCCAAGAAAATGGAAACTAATGAAACAGCTATGAAGAACACCAAATAGGTCTCTGAGATGAAGACTTTGACAGTCATTTTTTTTCAAGGGTGTGGGCGTTAAAAAATATTAATGATCATGGAATTTCCTAATATCTCAGAGAATTGTGAACATAAAAATGATTTAAAGAATATCGAATTGATTGAGACTTGTGATCTGATGAATAATAAAAAAATGCGGTCATGGAAGTGACTAATGGGGAGTTCATGGATTGTTATGATAACCATTAGCTTTCGGACCGCATTTGCTTCTAGTTTCTAATTCCTATATCAAGTGAAATTTATTTGAAATTGTGCAATGACACGATATACAAAAGAGTGTGTATTACTAACACTCATGTCACATAAATGAATCAATGATAACGCGAGCTAAACGGAGATCCGAACGAAGAAAAATTTGAATATCTTCAATGTGAGTTCAAAACCATTCTTAATAAATAAATAAAAAATGTACAGAAAGAGATGATTTTCGATGAACGCCATATCGATCAACCGATGAGAGATCAAGGTTTAAAATGAAATACAACACTAATTTGTTTTGTAAGAATGATGGTGAATTTGAATATCGTGAGATTTTTTGTAACTTCAAGAAGAATTTAATTATAGTTTCACGTTATTGTTTACATTTAAAATATTTGATGAAATCATTGGTGGCAACTACGGAAACACATGATGCTACTGAAGTCAAATCTGTTGATATATCTTTATAGAACACAAAAGAAATCTTTGAGATATATAGTATGAATATAAATCTCGATCAATGTTTGATATGTTGACAGCACAATATCCTACAGGCTACAGTGACGACAGAGACTGAATAAATTTTTTTTCGAGTATTTATTTTTAAGGCAAAAACATACTGAAGAAGATGAATTTTTTTAGTATTCAAATAAATCTCATGTTTAACTCCAGTGTGGAGAGTATTTTAGTAATTAAGATCACCGATATATTGAATAATAAAAAAAAAGAAACAGTCATCGGAGTGACTAACGGGGGTTTGTGACAAGAGTCTGATAACCATTAGTCTTCGGACCGCATTTTCTCAGTTTCTGATTTCTACTTCTTGTGAAAGTCACTAGAAGTTGTGCAATAACTCTAGAGTGAAAGAGAACACAGATGCAGCATAATACTCTCGTTGAATCGAATCACTAGTGAAGTCACTGGCGACATCGCTCGAGTTTTAATAAGCATGTCAACAGAATAGTATTATTTAATGAAAAACAGTACGAATTTTATGCTACGTAATTTTCATGATATGATTTTCAAAATTTAGAGTTATTTTCTGTATTTGGGTACTTAATATTTAAAGCTATTCGTTAAAAATTCACATGCATTCAGCTATTAAATCATAATTTAAAGTTGTTTTCAATATAGAGACTAAAAATCCATATAAATTAAAAACTATTTAAAATGTTCGTAACGTTGTTTAATCTTCTAGAAATTACATATAGGGTGGAGTCCTTCTATTTTTCGTGAAAAAGAATCCTTTTATCTTACCAATAACAAGAGTTTTCTTCGCATTTGATAGTAGTACAAAGACAATCTCTTACATTCTCTTCATTTATACTCAAACTAATTAGAAACAAATATGGTAGCTACTTCTACATTGAGAAGTCATAACATGTTGTTATCATAATGAAAGAATGATGTTATTATGCATTAATATCAAGTTTATTTCGAATATAAAATTTTAAAGTATAAAATTAAAAATTAAAAAATTGATTTTTTGGACAAACTCTTTGAACTGTAAAAAAATAAAAAGGATTCTGTAATAAATCTACATATTATTCTTCGTCATATGACAATGTCAAGAAAAATTAATTTATCTTTCATCAAATTATTCGCTAAAGTCTTTTCATTAAATAAATAATCTAAAACATCCTTATATTGTTTCTGACAGATTAATTAAAATAAACAAGTATATTCTAATGGAATACATTGTTAATGCATAAAGAATATTTTCCTTCATTTATTTTTTCTTTTAAATATATCTATTTTCTACTTCTAGTTTAAACACTTTGTAGTTTTCCAGTCATACCATGTTATATCTATATAAACAAGGAACTAATTTTATTTGGCTATAGAATTCTTTATGACAAAATGCTTTTTTAAATATTTTCTTAGACAACGATCTCTTGCAATATTTCTGTATGTGATTATAAATTTTTCACTTGGATAACAATTTTTTTCCCTCATAAAAAAACATACATTCTCTCTGCAAGCTCAAACATCTTTGTATTGAAAGAATATTGTCTGTAGCAACTTTATCATCGTTCAAATATGAAAAGAATGATAGTCATTTGAATGTTACAAATAATTATTTTTAAATATTGGTCTTTTATTTCTCCGGCTTCACCAAGGTTTATACATTGCAAAATACAAATCTGAATATGATGATGACATTGGTTTTCATTAGGTGAGTCAAATATTGATCAAATAAAATGATATACAGTAAATCTCGATACGAAAGATTTATTAATCATTGATTCTATCATTGAGATTGATAAAAACCAGTTGTGTACCCTGTTATAATGAAGTATCTTTGCGTAGAATTATATCAATCATACGAAGCTGCATACTACGAACGTATCAAATTCACATATTCATTTATTTTACGCAGATTTAGTAGCGTATCTATGATTTTGATAATGAAACACTTTTAGCGAAGCTTAGCTGGTGAAATTCCGCTTAGTAGGTACTCAGCCTCCTTTAGTTATGTCACCACCTGGAGATCTCAATATTGCTTTATCTTAACGAGTGAACAATACGACTTAATGATATCATAGACGCATTCCAGTGAATAGAAATATTTATTTTTCTTTCATTCAATGTTAATGATGTTTGAGTGTTCTCTCTAATACATAAAGACAGAGAGTAAGGAAGTGTTAAAATATTATCCTCATATACAATGGCAAATCAAGTTGACTGACATGAATATCATTTTTCTTTCATTATACTATTTAAAAATAGGTCATAATCAAGTGCATGTTGATAAAACACTCACAAACAACTTATATATAAACGACGGCATATTTTTAGATTTACACTTTGTTTATCATTCTTTTTTGAAGTGATTATGGCTGCTGTCTCGCTAAATGATAGCTTCATCATTGAAGTTAACGAAAATGAATCTTCATCAATTACAATATTATATACCTCTGTGCCATCAATAGTTTGCTTGTGGATTATACTCATATTTTTAATACCAGCTATAATCTGTTCTATTTTTCTTCTTTACAATTTTTTCTTTGATCGAAAACTATTGCATACATTCAGCAATCATACTCTTATTGCTCTTCTCATCATTGGACTACTTGCTTTACTTCTTGACATTCCAAACTATCTTAATTTTATTCGTCTAGGTTATGTTTGGCCTCAAACAATAAGTATATGTTATTTATGGTGTTTTGTGGATTTATCTTGTTTCTGTTTAATTGGTTATCTCATGAGTTGGGCTACAATCGAACGACATATTCTTGTATTTCATAATAATTGGATAAATACTAAGATAAAATGTTTTCTTATACATTATTTACCATTAGCATTAATCATTCTATATGGTTTTGGTTTTTATATTATTGTCATTTTCTTTTCATCATGTGAGAATGAATTTGATTACACACAAAATTGGTGTGCTTATCCATGTTATTTTAGTCAGAAAAGTATCATGATGTATGATGCTCTATTTAATTGTCTTTTACCAACTCCTCTAATAATTATCACTAATAGTTTACTAATTATTCGTGTTGTCAAACAAAAACAACGTCTTCATCAACATATAAAATGGAAAAAACATCGAAAAATGATTTTACAAACAATATCCTGTTCAGCTTTTTTTCTTCTATTCAGTCTTCCTATGACATCACTCATTCTTACTCATCTTTGTGGTATACCATATGAAGCAACTGGTCAAGTTGAACTTTATTTTTATTTTATCTCTTATTTCATCAATATTTTTATTCCTTTCATATGTCTTGGTTTGTCGCCCGAGATCTGGATCAAAGTAAAGAGAAAAATACAACGTCCCACTAATAGGATTACTATAGTAAATAATACATTACGTCAAATTACGATGAAACAACGTGCATTTGAATTATAATGGAACATCATTTTGCCATTGGAGTATATATATCCCAATTCAACATATGAAAATTTACAGAAAATGACATATGTATCAAATTTTAATATCATTCAATACATGTTATGACTGACAAACTTCTATCGTTTTTAAAATACAAATAAAGACTTTTAAGTATGTTAAATGTCATACGATTTGAATTGAATGAAATTATCTCTGGTTGGTTTAACCTTTCACTTGAGAAAATATTGAATAAATCTTTCTTCATTCTTTCACTTTTTTAAGAATAGGTTGGTAGCAGTTTCAAACGTTTTTTTAATTTTTCGACAGTTGTAATGTATCAGCGTCATCCATAATTTTAGTATGTAAATTTTTATCGTCTACTAAACATAACTTTTTTTCGACGTGTTTCCGCATATGAGACCAGCACATAACAATCCTATGATCCTTTCCAAATACTTTCGAAAATGAATTTCTAATAGCTTCAGAACCATCTACAATTAGTAGTAAATTTTGCTCGTTCATCTGCAAGTTTAAATCATGTAAACTATCACGAATGGACATAAATATAAATTTAAAATCTTTTTCTTTTTCGTTTGAACACACAGAAAATCCATATGGGTGAAATTGTTTTATCATATCAGTTGTTCCAATAATAAGACAAGGAAACCCTTGCCATATCAACTTGTAGGTAGCGTCAGCATGAATTTTGTTTGAAATGGTTGCGTTGAATAATAATCTTTTAGCTGTAATAAAGAATCGAAATTTGTTTCCATCATCATCATTGTCATCATTATCAATTTTATCTTCATATTCGATTTGATATTTTAGTACCCAAGGCTTATCATCATTATCAGATATAACTGAATTTTGTTGACACCATGCTTTCAATTCGCCTAAATTTATACTTGTAGTATCATACAACTTTTCTCTTAATAATGTCAAATAACTGGATAATTGCTGTTTTTTAGGAACAGGTACACCTTTTTCGTCTAATATTTCCAGTATACGTTTCAGCTTGACTTTCATTTTGCACAACTCGTCTATTACTTGTTTTGATTGTTAGTTTATGCCAGTTGATTTTGGTTGTTGATGTAAATGATCAAGACCCGTTCCATACATGGTAACACATTCATTTTCACTATGATATAAAAGATGAATATCAACTGGAGACTGTTTTCCATGTCATTTTACTTGACTACATCTGTCATAAACCCATTTTCCTTCGCTTGTTATATTTATATGAGTTTTGCTCCATATATCATCATTTTTTATCTTATTAATAGCATCATCTTTATTGTTGTATGTACATAATGGAACCCATTTTTGTCTATTTTGTTTTGCTTTTTTTTTAAAGTTTTCGCTATTATTGGAAGACTCCAGTTCCACTTCATTGCCACTTTCACTATCAGAAATACATTGCGCTACACGTTGTAATTGAGCTATTGGTATATATTGTATATTTTATGTTATAAACTTGAAGAGATACGCATTTATACACATACATGAATCCATATTCCACTTTTTATATAAAATATACCTTTAATTTAAATAAATTATTGCTCATTCTGTACAAATATCGCTCATTCAACATAGTTATTGCTCATTCAGATTATTTTATTGCTCAATTAAATATAAACCAAAGAAAATAAAAGAAATACAACAATAGAATATTCTCACTATACGACATTAGAGTGATCACAACATGAAGGAAAAAGAACACACATAACTATATATGTATCGTATATATGTAGATGATGACCATTCATAAGTCCACAAACATCAACAGAAAGAAATGAAACTAAACATAACAATAATAAGCGTTATTGTCAATACGTTACATATATATATAATTGTATTTCGAGACAGATTTTTTGAATGTTTTCAATAATTTATTCATCATTTAATAGTAAGTTGATTATACTCAAAGGGTACTGCTCTCACGTCGATACCCGTGAGTGTACAATTGCTTCAGATGAGGAGATATCAATGGAAGTACTACTGCAATAGAGATAAGTGCGAGAATGGTGAGAAGCCATTCCAAAGCAACTAACCATGTTGGAAGACTTCCAAGAAACCGATAAGCTACAGGAAAAAATGCATGTGGTGCGGCAGAAGATGTCAAGAGTGTAAGAATGATAAGTACACGTTTTAAGATAATCATGTCACGACGCATACTTTTTCGTTGTTTAGTTGTTATGATTGTTGAGCTATGTTGTCGAATATAATATATAGTGTATACATAGCTGCATGCTATAATAATAAATGGAAAAAGAAAACCAAGTACACAAACAATTAATGATCCACGCATGCTACTTGGTGCAACTTGACAATGATAATCATTATGTAAGTATTCCATATCACCGATAAGCAAACTTGGTATCAATTCTAAGGCTGAAAAAATCCATTGGCCAAATGAAACTATTATATAAAAACTAAAAGGTTGATGTTTGGTTTGTATTGGATACATGATTCGACATATTCTATAAATAGCCTGGAGCGAGAATGAATGAAAAAATGTATAACCACAAATGTACATAAAATAAGCTTTTATTTGACACCACCAATTATTAACTGAAGTGTCTGGATGTGAATATCCATACATATAATAAATACACATATCCAGAATAAAACAACTAATACAGAGTAAAATGATATAAATATTTGCAAGAAATAAATAATCCACACGTTTTCTTTTGATTGCTGCTTGGTGTAAAATCATGAACGTTAAAAAATAAATAGAGAGACAGATCTGAATTGTCGAAAAAATCGAAGTAATTGAATATAAAATAATGTTAACATGTTTGATGGGCATCACTGATTGATGAAAATAACTTTCGAATGATTGAATATTAGATAACAAAGCTATATAATTGATCGCTAAGATATTTTTGAAGAAGACCTAAAATAGTTATCTATATCTGAAATTGCGTAGATGCATCAATAGCAAACACTTTATCGACTACATAAATCAATTTTCTTAAGACAAACTGAAGTAAATCGCGATTGTTTTAAAATAAACACATATAAACAGCTGTGTAAAAAATAAATATGAAAATGGTGAATGTATAGGCGAAAAATTATCGTAATTTAGCCGAAGTAACTTCAACATAAACTAGGTATAAAAATGATCTACATCGCCGATACTATCGATTTCTAATGGTCTCTTAAGAGTTTAATCACGTATGAAGGTAAAATGAGTAGTGCGCTAATACCGTGTCTGTTTTTCATACAGACAGGTCAAAGAACGAATCATTGCTTATGCTCACAAAAGAAAAAACTTAAGCTCGAAAGGCAAATTTCAGCAGAATGATGTATCAAATATTCAGATGTTCACCAAATTTACTTGATTTATATGCGTTGGATCACTATGTATGGGATGAAGTAGCAGTAGCTGTGAATTGGGATCACACAATAACAAAAACAACATTGATAGGCGAGATCAAACATTCAGTCAAAAAAAGGAAAGAAATCAAAAACTATTTTTTGGTAGAATCTCTCATACGTAGGACTTAAGATCTCTATACTCTGCAATAATTAGCTGTCAAAATTATTCACTTAACTTCATAAAAACTAATACTTAGGCATGCCAAAAGTAATGACGCCATTATCTTATTTTTATATAGGAAGCTTGAAGAAATTTTCTTTTCTTTTTTCATAGTAAGAGAGAAAATGATGCTCTATTTTTCTATGCTATTTGGTCATATTTCAACTAATATCCCGATAATAAAATTTCAATAAGAACTGTTTTTGTGTAAAACTTGAGCCTGTTTAAAAACAATAGCCGTGGGTAGTTTTGTAATAACTCAAGAACGGAAATAGCTAGAGAGCTGCGGTTTTCATCTTTCGAAAGAAGAGATGAAGATACATCAAATCGTATATTACAGAATTTTTTGACATGAATTATTTAAGTTCTTCAATAGATTTCTTTGAAAGCAAATCTATCCTGTGAAGTATTTGCAGTGAATTCATAATTGTTACGTGTGTATTTAAACCGCTAATGGAAAGTCTAAAAACCTGCACAAGATTCAGATGTTTAGAATTGATCATTCGGGAGTTATAGGTATACTATAGTCTGTTTAAAAAGTCCGTGCATGTGACAGTTTTTTAAATAACTCGAGAACGCACACAGCTAGATAACTGCAGTTTTCACCAATCGAAAGAGGAGGAGTTAGAGCGTCTTTCTCTCTGATAATGTCTCAGATAAAATGCTTTTAAAACTGATCATCTTTGAAAAATATAGAAAAGAATG